ACGAAGAATTGAGGCAGTTCTGAAGGCAAAAGGGGGTCCAACCCGTTACTAGCATGGGGTACCTAATAAAGTGGCCGGTGAGTGTAGATATATTGAAAGCATATCTTGCAGCATACATCTATAAAATCTAAGCTGTTGTACATTAAATCTCTTTATGTATTTATATATTTTCTTATCTGTTTTATTTATACAGTATGTTTATATACATGATTTTTAACCATGTTCATTCAATTTGATGATTATAATAAACTGTTGAATAATTTATGTACATAAAGACAGCATTGGTTTTTGTAGACCTCTTTATTTTAATGGAGATTCATTTGTATTTATATAGAAATTCATCTATTAGGGGTGTCTACATCTTTCCATGAAATGAACTCAGTCAAAAGAGTACAACCAATGGCTCCAGCTATTTCATATTTATATCCCTCAGTTCACCTTCCACCTTCTCTTCCTTCTCACTACACCTGTTTAGCGGAATCCCTTCTTTTTGTTCTTATCAGAACCACAGTTTCACGCCACTCATTAAATAACCCTCCAGTCTTTTTCTTGCCCCTGAAAACTAATTATTGTGAGAACAGAGAATGCCCTGAATGTAGCGGTTTTATTGCAGCTTTCACATTTGTACCACCACAATGTTGGAAGTAAAATAGCCTGAATAATGGAAGGCTTTTAAGCAAGTCCCTTGAAATGTTTCAGTGTGACCAGAATATTTAATGATCTGAAGTTAAATTAGTTTATTTATTATACTATTTATTAATAAATTATTTTATTTAGTTTACATATAAAAAAAAAAAACATGAGACATATGATTTGGCTTTTCTATGACCAAACTTTGTTATTTATATAACAATAAATCTGTATGCAGGAGCTATCACTGTAGTTGGAAAACAGCTGCTTCCTCTTTTTCTAATTTAGGTCTTGTATCTGTAGAAATGAGTTTGCTTTTGTGCAGAATTGGAAAAGTTTTTACCAGATCTTCCAGTCACACAGTATGCCCTAACTCTATATCAGTGGATCAGTTTGTTCCTTTTAGTGGCCTTATTTTCAGTTTTGCTCATCCCTGCAGTAGCTAAGAAATCTGGGCAGCTGTACATCCTAACATCTTCAAAACCATACTTAATTTTAAACTATAGTAAAATTGTGTTAATAAAAGTAATGTGGTGGAAAAAATTCAAAAAGTAATACACTTTAAAATTAATCGGCGTGTGGGTGTTTCATCATCTGCGAAAGAATTTGGGGTTTAAAACGAAGCACACAGCCTTACGCCTCTCATTGCATTTTCACTACAAGATATGGAAAAATCCTAACTGATGTATTCCAGCAGTAAATCCACGTCTACACAGCCAAAGTCACCTGCAACTTGTCAAAATTACAAATATGGCAGAAATACCAATTGATAGATTATCTGGATTTTTTTTTTTAATTATAGACACACACACACAAAAGCTGCTATAGCTATGTTTTCCATATATATATATGTATATATATATATATATATATGGAAAAAATAACTATAGCAGCTTTTCCTTTCAAAATAGGACAAAGAAAGATGCGTCCTAGCTAAAAGCCAGAAAAAAAAGTGCAAATATTCAACAGGTAGAGGAAGAGACAGAAAGTCACATTAACTCACCCAAAGACTGGTTATAAAACATCCGCTTTTAGAACAGCAAAATATATAGTTTTACCGCCAATAACTGGAACGTAATTTCACTTTATGATTTTTCAGTTCATTTCTTTAGGGTTAAAAAGACTAATTTTAAAAGAGAATCTACTGTATAATGCCAGCTGGGATCTTTGTGGAAAATGAACTAGGGGTAAACATTTAGTTATGAAGCTCATAAATCATTCCACATTGGCAGCTTGAAATGCGTTTATAGTGTGTTTTTAGCAAAAAATAGTTTTGTTACCTAAAATGTTTGAAAAAGCTGTTTGCTTGTTGAAAGAAAAGGCTTTTGTTCTACACTTAGCTATTTTTAAAACCATAATCTCCTCAGCCGAACCTTCTGTATCAAAGGTATAGTTTTTAACTTTTACAACAAATTCTTTAGGTTCAGGATTGGTAGTAACTGGTATGAAAGTAATGTCTATCCACCAGCGTAACATACACTCAGAGAACAGCAAAGGTTCCATATCAGTTATAAACCTGTCATCACATATGCCATTTCTGATGCAAAGCCATTTCTGAGGGTTTTGGATTTCCGAGAACCATCCCAGGAGTGGCCAACCGTGTGCCCCATAGCAGGAGGAGTTGTCTAAAAAAAATATTATATCAAAAGTACTGCGGATCTTACTTGTTTCAAAAGAAAGAAACTGGACAATGATGGTATCTATAGATGAGTTACTTTGGCTTAAATTATTTCTTTCAATGTTCTGTATCTTAGCAAACAGCTTGTCCTTGTTAGCTAACATGGGCATCTTCTAAGACACATATCCAGATTTTTATAAAGATAAAGTGACAACTTGCTGTTTTCTAACAGCAAAGTGAGGAGGATGGTAAGGAAGGTTAAATAAAAAAAAAATGACTCCCAAAGCTAATTGTGAGAAAAGAGCAGCAGCATTTAATTTTGTTCTCTTGTCATCAGTTCAGGAATGATGAGCAAAAAACTTATTTTTCTGTCCTACCATGACAAACATAAACAAATGAGTTCAATAAAGTACCCTTTTACCTGAAACCCTGTACTATAGTCAAATAAGACTAAGATTTAGCTTATTGGGAACAAAAACAGTCATGTAGGGTTGATGTGAAAAAGGATAAAAGTGGGGAGAATAACTTCCAGCCCACTGGTATAGATGGTGTTACTTAATGTAGAGAACCTTTTTCTCCTCCTCATGCCCTGGGAACCTTCTGGCTCCTCCTAGAAATCGGAACTGGATTATCTCTGGAACTTTCAGCACTATGCTAATTGAAACAGAAATGGGTTATCGGAGAGAAAATCTTCAATGGGCACAAATCTTTTGAAAACCTGTGGAGTGATCTAAGGAGAATGGGGGCAGAATGAAGGACACCAGAGTCTGGATGATGTTTGGAGAAGGTTAGGATCACCCCTTCAGTTTGTTCACACCTTGTTGGAGGTTAACGTAGAAGACTAAGTTTGTCCTGAAATGGATTATTCAATGTTTGCACATTTTATGGGTGTACCACACTAATTTTAAAGGTTGGATTTTTCCTCTATTTGTTTTGTTGTTCTTGTTTGTTTGTTTTTTGCTGTTATGCAGTTTTGTTGCCTCAATAATCCAATTTATTCTATTGTATTTTGTACATTTTTAGCAGAGGTGTAGAGAAGTTGCGCTGTATATGGACAACTTTGCATTTCCTCCAAGTGCTGCTGCTGTGCCATGACAACAACAAATGCCCAATCTTTTGTTCCACTGGAAGAGGGAAATCTCATATCATAAAGCCAGTGATAAAATGTGGCGCTGCACATGAGATCAATCTGTTTAGGGAGCCCAGATTAGACACCTCCTTTCTTCTCCTGGCATTTTTCATATCTGGTGGAAGAAGAAGGTTTCTCTGTCTTTTAGTCAGCCATGAGCTGAATAATGTACAGTTATTAACATCTTCAAACGTGAGCTCTTGTGTCAAACCACTCCACTTTATTACTTTTAAAGATGTAGATCTACCGTCCGTTAGTTGTGTTGGAACCCTTGAACACTACAATTAAAGAACTCGCCAATTTGCTATAAACATAACTTTCTAATTCTTTCTAAGGTCCAAATTTGTGTGACTATTTATTTTTATAATCTTTTTGCTGCTGTAAACACAAGAATTTCCCCCTCGTTGGACAATAAAGGGATTTTCTATTCTATTCTACTCTTTCCAAACTGTGCTGATTAGAGAGCAATCTGAGCTTTTCATGTGCTGAACATGCAGCAATGATACCATTGGGAGTGAAGGAATTCTCAGCAACACATTGTATCAACATTGATAGCCTTGCACAATACTAATTAAGTGCAAACTCTAAAATACCTGCAACTAGGCATCTTCACATTCATTTAAAATGTAGGCTTACAACAGGAGTCGCTCATCACTTTTATGATTCTAATTTACACATCCGAGATGATAACCTAGAGTGATGGCACTTTAATTGGCTTCATTCAAACGTGCAACTCAACGAAAAAACATGCAAAATTATTAAAAGACTGAAATGGTTTTATTCATAAAAATCGCCTTAAACCCAAACAGTATCTAAACTATCTAAATATCCTTCAGAAAGTGTTTAAGTCTTTTGATCACATCTTTATGTGTATTTAAAGTAAATGAGCGACAAAGGAGATGCCAGGGTAAACGGCGGTTCTGCGTCGCGTTTGTTGCTTGTTGTTTTCTGCAGCAACGCACATTTGCAAGGCTGTGCAGATATTAGACATGGCTGGAGGGAGAGATATAACGATAAAACAAAACATAAAGAAGATTTAGAAAAGGGAAGTGAATAGTTTTAGCACTGTACACCCACCCACACGCACACTCATATGTATATATATGTATATATATATATATCCCCTTAACTCATATATTACTAAATTCTGTATCCCTCGATGTATGATTATTATATTAATTAGATTTTAGAATGGTATTCTAGCAGAGACAATAACGAAGTGAATTAATCATATCAATTAAAAGTGGCTATGTCCTCGGCAAATAATTAGTTGAAGTTCAGAAATAAACTAACAAACCCATAATTTCTGTCATCTTCTTACCTGCGCGGGGATCCTCCGTTACCAGAGCTGTTGTGCTGGGCATACACAGTGCACACCTAACGCATGTCCTCCGCAGTGCTTTTTGTCTTGTTAGTCTCAAAACAAGTGGATTAAACTGGAGTCAGATGAATGAGTAAAAGATGGGAAGCGAGTGTTTCTGCCGTTTCAAGTTTGAGGCGCGTACCGCCCGCCAGGAGCTGTCCGTGGTACTGAAAAACAACCTCCCCGCACTATCACCAACAGGGAGAGCGCTGCTGGATTCCTGGAGGTGCCGTTCCTGCCAAGAGCGCTTCAAAAGTCACATTTCTTCGGCGCACGAGAAGCAAATGCAACAGACGCCCACTGCTTCAACCTGCAAAACAGGGCGTTTACTTTACTGTAACTAATGCATGAGAGATCATAAATATAAAATAAATCTATGGGATTTTTAATCACATTTATAATCTATCACATTTTGTAACTTAGCACTTGCTAAAAGTAGCAGATTTTCACAAAGTTAGATTTAACATTATTTGCCTGTAAAATATCTGGTAACTCACAATTGTATTTTTTAAACTGGTTGGGAAGCCTTAAATCTAACAAGGTTTTAACAAGTGACAAACATTTCCCTATGAAGGAGCAGCCCTACAAATGAAGTCAGCCTGAGAGCGTAATGGTTCTTCTTTGAGGAGCTTTTCATTTTGAGAAGTCTTGGACTGCACCTGGAAATGAGAGTCTTTCAGAATCAGCCCCTATTTGTGGAAGAAGTTGAGGGGAGGAGGCCACAAGTTAACAACAATTACTCTTTAGAGACTCGTTATTGACAGCGGTGTAAATGTGTTTGTTATGCAGAAGACAAGTTCTGGCAAAGAACATGAAGAGTGTGAGGTCTGTCCCGGATAATACCATGATGAGCAGAGACAACTGAGACCCTTCCCCATTCCCATGCGTTTGCCAGCTTCAGATACAGCACTAAACGTGTGTGTTGAAAGACCTTTTGTTTTATTTGGATTATTATTCAGAGATTTTACATGCACAGATTCAATTCATTTTATTAGGATTTCATAACACAAATCGATGAGCAATTTTAAAGTACATGATTTAAATTTTTTACAGAAAAAAATCTGAAAAGTGTTGTTGTTCATTTGAATTTAGCCCATCTGATACATTACTTGTTGGCACTTTTTTACAGCTTTAGGCAGTAATCTCCCGAAGGCCTAAGTAAGATTTTTCTCTAAGAGTTCCCTTTTCTAACTCCTTTTTCTCACTTAAACTCTAAGCAACTTTTCTGTGTGCACTCGAGCAAAGAGTCCAACTGGTTGATGGTGCCACTGCCCTGTTACTGTTTAGGGAGAGTGTGCTTCTCGAGGTGGTTTTCAGTGACAGCGCTCTGCCACACAGACCCAATGTCATTTGTGTAGAGCTCTTTCTTCAACAGGTCTTCAACAGGTACGTACTGCATGGGGGTCATGAAAGTTTTGGCTGATTAGACTTTTTTTTATATTCCCCCTTTTTTCCACTAATTAAAATGTCTTTAAATACACATTAAATGAATTCAACACACTGTAGAAAACATAAATGGAGGCAGAAGATGTCTTTCAGTCATCAATGCACACATTCAGCGACACACAGGAGCTCATTAGAGCTGGGCACTGTTTCATTCACAACACCTGTCCCATCAACCAGGAATCAGAATCAGAAATACTTTAATGATCCCAGGGCGAAATTACTTTTGTTACATTGCTCCATTTGTAATATATTGACTAAAGGACCAGTTTGATAAAACACAATTTCATACAATACATATAATTAGGGGGTCCCTGCTCCATCTTGCCATCAGTTTGGGGGTCCTTATAGCCTGGAAAACATTGAATACCCCTGTTTTATTCAGTTTATTTATATAGCGCCAATCCACAACACGTCATCTCAAGGCACTTTAAATAGACAATGGGCTGATTGGTTAAAAGTTTCTGTCACGGAAAATCAGTGAATTGCATCCAGTTATTGACTTGCAAGATTTTTGTTCTTTCACTCCAGCCTTATCATATTAAAGGTTATTGGAAACAGATGTATTTTCTGGATTTTTATTTCTAAAAGTATATGTTAAAGTCATGCACCACTTCCCCTTCACTTTTCGATAACTTTCTTCTATGTATTGGTCTACCATATAAAAAGCTTATTAACTATACTGAAGTTTGTGGTTGCAGTGTGGCAAAATGCAAATAACTTAAAGGGGCATACTTTGTTTTGTGAGGTTCTACAGATTAATAATCAACACCACGGGAAAGCAATAATCAGCTTTCCTGTGAAGCTGCATGACACCCATGTGAGATTCACTATTAATTAAATCAGTTGCTGACCCGCTGTTAACAGTGGTCCCTCATCGAAAATGATGTTTGTGCTTGCTTCTGGACAGAGGTTGGGGGAGCCTGACTTATACATAACTGAGAGGTATGATCAGGACATCCATTCCTGCAGGCTCTTTACCCCTCTGCAAAAAGAGACAAAGCAGGTAAAACATTACCAGTGGCTGGTTACCCGAGAAACAACTGCAGTGTTGCGATGTTTCGAAACCTGCAACTGCATTTCTATTTGATCATTAGAGGTGTTATATAACTAAGTATTAATACAATCATTACTGTACTTAAGTAACTTTTTAGGGGTATCTGTTTTTTTATTTATTTTTCTGAGGTTTTACTTTCACTTCTTACCTTTGAACACAAATATCTGTGCTTTCTGTTCCTTACTTTATCAAAAGTGACTCCTTACTTCAATAATTATTTACCCTAACAAAACAGAGGGAAAATCAAGAGCCTAAGACTATCTCTCCACATGAAGCCCAATTTCTTTATAGAAAAATATTGGTTTCAACAAGAATGAAGACATGGAGCTGGAAAACATTGCAGATGATCGACCAGATTATAAGATAAGATTATGAGAAACAAGACATTCCCTCTCTATTCTCATTGGTTCGATTTTTAATTCATGTGTTGATTATGAATCAAGTTCTATTTCAACTTTATTTCTGTTTTAAGTTAAACTGCTGCAATAAACCAAAGCTCTAAAGGTGTTCAGTTGTTTATACAATTGTGTTGTGTTCAATCTATGTTATCCTGTCAGAAATTTGAATTCAGTACAAACTTTAAGTTTTCTTTATCAACACAGTAGACAGTAGAAGACAATATACATTTAAAAAGTGTAAAAAAAAACATCTTTTAGTTTTGTATTTAAGTGAACTGTGACATCTTTACTTTTTCACTTTTACTTGAAGAAAGAAACTCTCAGAGTTGCTGGATGTTGTTGTGGACCCAAATGCAGAGTAGAGGAGGCAGAGATGATTTTGTGCAGATTTAGTTAAGATGTTGATAGTACAGAAGCAAATAATCCAGAAACAACAGGCAAGGAACTCTGGAATTAAAATGTAGGAGACGCTCAGTGAAACTTACCGGATCAAAGTAATAGAGAGAATACAGCTATAAGGAACCGCGCAGGAGGTGTATAATGGGAGACAGAACAAAGAATGGGATAATCAGCTGATGGGGAGCAGGTATGGAGAGAAATAACTAGAAGGGAACTAGGGAAAAGGAGACTGGCACAAGGGGGAAACAGAGAGTAACTCAAACAATATAACACTGCTTAAATATGTCAAAAAATCGAAAAGAAACCAAAGACCAACAAGATCCAGAATGACATAAATCAATGTGTAACTGCAAACCTAAAAAGAAACTTTAACAGAAGTCCACAAAGGGCAGAATAATGGCCGCGCTTCAACAAATACTTTAATAGTTTGTGCTTTTACTTAAGTAAAGCATATGAGTACTTTTGACACCTATTCTAGATATATATAACAATGTATATATATATATATATATACTTTTTAATTTATTTTTTCTTAGCCAGTTCCAGTTGAATCTGAGTTTGTTCTGATCTTTCTCAACTGTGAGCATATGACTCACTGTGAAGAATATTTTATCAATGTGGTCATTAATCACCATACAAAACTAATTGAGCTGGCCTTTAAAATAATATTGGCCTGAAAGGATGCCACAGCACAAAATCCAGTTAGGGCAATTAGCTCTACTCTTGTCTATTCTAGTTTATTTATATGTAACACCAGGTCAAAATGATGTCTTAACAAGACACTTTGTAAGGTGAAAAAAACACAACCAACCTTAAAAAATCCTACTTGGTTTAGATTTGATTTAAGCCAAAACATTTGATTTCAGTCCAGAGTCTACATAGCTCCTTCTAATATTAATAACAATTCAATACAGTTAGAACCAGCAGCTAATTTAACACTAATTGGTAAAAGTCTATAGGCCTTTGGAAATTGAGCAGACTGTAACGATCACAGAACCAATCAACTTTTTTGTGACCAAATTAACAGCCACTAAAAAAGTGACTCTTTGCTGGTAACCCTCCTTTCCCCTGAACAAGCATGCAGTGACAGTAGAGAGAACATATTCCAATTTAAAACAAATAAACTGGAAATACAACTAGCTTTATGTCAATTAAAATGTACAGCTTTTTTTTTCATATTAAGATTATGCATAGTTAAAAAAAAACATATCCAATGTAACCTACACAGTTGAAAGCCTGTTTATGATGAGCCCTGCTTGGTTTTTCAGAGAGTTGGCAGAGAAAGAGAGAGACTCTTGAAGGCGACATTGTCATTCAGATTGTATTAAAACAAGTTTTTCCCTCTGTTGGGCATAGCCATGATTGGATCCCTACTGGGTCACTTATTCTGTAACCTTTTCTCATCCTTGCAAGGCGTAAAAAATTGCTGGTTTATTGAAAAATGCTGAAATTTTGCTTGTTTATAAATTCTGTTTTTCCCACAACTGCTGAGATTCCAGAAGGAAGTAAAATAAGCAATGAGGGGATTCTAAAGCACTATGTTACTTAGTACCTACAGTATCTAACTGTGCTGCACTTTATAAATAGTCAGCCTTTTGTAAACAGTTACCTACATTCTTTTTCCTCAGCTGCTCCACTTTAGAGTGGCATTAGGATGGAAGCTTTGACTCAAATAAAAAATTTGACTGCAACATATTCTCTGTTTATAAGATCAGATTTATATATCCAATGTCAAAGCCTGACAAGAAATACTGATTTATAAATATTTGCTCCTTTAATGCATAATATCTACTGAATAAAACAAACTACAAGTAGTTTTTGATCCTAATGGGCTTGTATTCTAGGTTGGTACAAATAGGATTTACAGTAGCGGCATTTACTAATAACAACAAAAAGAAAATCAAACCTGAACTAAACTACAATGATGGGTTCTTTAAATGTATCAATTTATCTATCTATGAAAGTAGATATTTGCACACTTTAGTCCATTGATCTTAAATCAGACTAAATATCTATTTTATAAGTCAAATTCTTTTTTTAAAACTAGTAGGATAATAGAAAACATTTCTCAGAACCAGAATCCACTTAAATCCTATTAAACTTTGGTAAAATTCTTAAATACTTTCAGATATTTAAGAAAAAAAAAAAAAAAAAAATATATATATATATATATATATATATATATATATATATATATATATATATACATACATAGATAGTGAAAATGGCATATGCCCAACTGTGCCTTTTTCTTCATTTGAAACCATTAAGTGTGTAAAAACAGCAAGGGAACATAGAGCAATATTATTGTTTTTAAAAAGGACACAGGATCTTTGCCTCACAGCTGAATGCAAGAAAAACATAAATGAAGTCTTTTTGAAGATGTCAGTTAAAGAACATAAGGAATTATCCAGAGGGAATCTAGAGCTGTACAAACACAGCCTGTGATTATTTCTGAAACGATGTGCCAAAGCAAGGTGCTTTACAACCCTGACTCAGTTTGTCATGAGGATTGGGCTGAACTTCTACCCTAAATAAAAATGTACTTGAAGAAAAATAAACCCTCATGATTCTCGCTTTTTGCAAATGAAAATTATGTTAGGAACAGTTTTATAATGTATCCAATGTATGATCATAGCCAAAAAAGTTTTTATAGTGTTTGCCATATCTTGTTGTAGAGCTGACATTATATAATACACGGATGGACTGTGTTTAATAATTAAGTCATGAATCAAGTTAAGAGTTAATGAATCACTTTCTGCTTTGAGGAGTAGTGATTCTGTTCAACTTCTGTTTTCTTATCCGAGTCCAAACAAAACAGGGATACTAGCAATCATTTTATTGGGACACCTTGAAAACCCATCGCTTCCAAGAGTCAACTTAATAACTTATGAGCAGCTGGCTTACTCGTCTGTGTCCTGTGAAAAATTCTGCCACCCACTCTGATACATCTCCTGCAACTGCTCAGAAGCAGATAAATAAGAATTTCCTCAGACAGGAGAAGAAATTATGTGCCTGTTTCAGTGGAAATCAAACCACACTGTGGGAAGAAGCTGTGT